CGCCCCACCCTTTTTTTTTATTAAGAGAACATAAAAATGTTTTCATTTCTTCCTTGGAAAACTTGATTCAGTAATAGCTGATTTAGTCCATTGTAAAAGTTTCAAATGTCTGTTTACAGAGAAGCATGCGCAAAATATAGTGATAAGCAAATGCAAAGAAGGTACCTATACTGATCTTCTCTCATTTGTTCCAGCTACATATCCACGTTCTTATCCGTACTTAATATTGGATACCATCCAGAGTTCCCCCAAACACTTCAATATAAGATTTATCTCTACAGAAATAGAGAGACCAATCTATAACGAAGTGTCTGAGGGAACTCTAGAGGACAACCAATTCGAAACTTGTAGCTTGTTTGAATACCTTCAACATTGGTGCCTATTTATAGTAGAGTTTTCATGCCGATATTGCGGTTTATGTACTCCCGGATTGAAGAAATCATAACTCAGTGTGTCCATACTTGAACCTATCCATGTTTATTGATAGGGTTAAGAAAGAATCGTACATAGATGCTTTATCACCGTCCTTTTTCTCTTTTCTTCTTGTAGAGATGCCAAGCCACAGAAGTTCTTAATCCCTTGATCCCTTTAAAACTCAGCATGATTTTTTCTTAGGTTGTTCTTTAGGCTCACATAAATATCATTTTTGTTTAATTAATGGTAAACTACTTGAGCTTTGATCCCTCATATTGTTTTGATTCATTCTTGCGGTATATTATTTGAGGCGTAATATAGCACTTGATTCTATGAATTCTTAATTCGAAATTTAATAAAAAATTTAAAAACATGAATATAGCTTTGGTCCATAAACTTGAACAATAAATTTCTCCTGTCAGGATGCAACTTGCTATTCTCATCCTTTACATGCATGCTATGTGCAGTAATGTCTCATTTGCTCATATTAAGTTCAAACTGAAAAGAAATGACAAATATGCCTGTAATTAACCAAAAATAAGGAAGAAGAGATAATCCTATTTACATGCTGAAATAATGAGATAATTTGAAGTTTTGAGACTTTGTGGTGCAAAGGAGATAAAGGCCACACTGTATATAGACAAAGATGTACTAAAGATGTTTGTGACCACTGAATGGGTTATTCTCGTTCTTTGTTAGCAAGGGCAGAAAGCCGACTAGGTTCAATGTATGTCTAATAGAAAACAATTGCATTGAATATCTTACATTTTACAAATTAAAACTTTTGCTTCACAAATTAAAGCTAATAGCCATGGATATAACTTGAAATGTCTCTTGCTTAGTAAATTAAATACATATTGTATTTACAGCAAAAATATATAGTCGACTGAGACAGAAGTACAAGAATTTGGGCTATCATGCTGAACAAATTTTTAACAGTTAAAGTTGCTGTAATTATGGTCTTCCATCCATATTTGGGATTGGATCTTCATCTTAATGGGAGAATACACTGCAGAAGAAAAATTCTCAATCAACTAAAAAAAACATATAAATGCTGCAAATTTCTGAGAGTTAGGCCTTTGTGCATCAGCTATAAACTTCAAACATTTAGCTCATGTCAGTTAACTAATACTTCGTTACAAATCCAAAGTAGAAACATAGTAACTAAGCCCTATTATTATAACTTGGTTTCATTATTGGCTAATTAGTACTTAAATACCCTATTGTTTCCCCTAATTTGCACTTATAAACCAACATTTGTTTTTTGGCTGCACTTATATATCTAAAGTTTCTAAAAGTTGCACTTTTAACACCTTCTCTATTATGCAATCATGGTAATCATTGAAATTAATATTACGCCCCAATTCTTAAGTTATTTCGAAATTAATCCCTCCATTGATGGAGTAGAGGTAGCAATTGGGAGGATTATCAAGTAAAATCTATTCTTGTGAGATTATCAGGTCCCCAAATTCTCATGATTTATATCAAATTAACCCCTCTCAAGGAAAAATTAACTAAAACCAATGAAAATGACAACAAAAGATAAAATTACCACTTACGAACATTACAAAAAAACTAACTGAAATTGATGAAACAACATGCACCACACCGGTTCAATTTTGACTGTGTCAATCTGGATCAATTTCAAATAGCTCTGAAGTGTATAGATGCTTATTCTCTAGCAATTGCTGTCCACCTGTGACAGCGTGAACATAGGGCGATCAGAAACAAAAAAATAAATAAATAAATAAATAAAATCAAATAGATCTCGCACGGTTGGTTCACACACAACAAAAAGATTATATTTTAGGAAACGATATTCACGCAGACCCAAAGTCCTGGATGCAAACAATCGATTGCATTCATATGAAAGCAATCTATCTTGAAACTTTATGGGAGATGAGCAATGCATAAATTGTCTTCACAAGCAAATAACACAATTTCAACACTTGAAAGATGAGATTCTTAAGAGTGGAGCTTCTTACCTTTAGACTATTGTGCAGTTGTAAGTTTCACATAGCTGGAGAAGAACAGCTTGATTCGAACGATCCATGTACTGTTCGATGACAGCAGAGTACTTTCCAGGTGAAGCTGATGAAAGTATAGCCAACGAAGTGACTAAAAATTCTGTTGGATCTTTTATCTCATTCAGAGGATCATCCTCCTCCTTCCAAGCACTCTGCAATCCATCTTTATCAGGTTGGACAAAGTAATGATACCATCAAGCATCTTCCCCCAGAGCTCGACTGATGCGGTATCCAAAAGGATCGGGGATTCACAAATTAGTCTCGTGGAAGCAACTGAAGTAAGATTGACCTCAATGTGGCCTGCGATGACCTTAAGTGTTCGGATCCACATTTCCTCAATGATAGTTGTAAAGGTATTGGGTAGGACTGCGTCCATTGGATCCACAAGAAGTGTATGCCTGTGCTTGACCGAAAGCAGCGACTAGAAGATTAAAAAGCCCTTTGCCCTTGCTGCAGTATTATGGAGAGAACAATCCATATCCGAACAATGTAGTGTTTCACAATATCATGGCCGAGGTTCGCTGTGAAAGTATTGAGAACATCAAAACCGACGACTTCCGTATTAGAATCCCGAATGATTGTACTAAATACTGCAAGTACCGCACACAGTCTTTCATCGTCGTGGATCGCCCCTCCGTCATTGTTGAACTCATGTGGTATCTTCCGCAGATAATGCTTGTAGCAGCCGCACCAGCGCAGCTACGTTGGCTGAAAACTTCCAAGATGCAGGGTGGAGCACCAGTTTGAATAGCTGCGTTCAATTTTCTGCCAGGGGTGGCTGGCTCATCTCAACAAGTTGAGAGAATATCTCGAAAGCATGTGGGAAGAGCTCCATCATGTTGTTGACCATAATACTCCGGAGGACCCAAAAAAATTTCCGCCTCAAACTGATCGTGGGTGAATAATGAGCCCCTTTGGTTCCTGCCCACCTTAACAAGAATGAATTATGAGGATGAGGGCATTGATGCACAACTCGGTAACCTCCTTGCCGCTGGAGGCCACCTTGAGAACTCTCTGTTGGAAACATAACATTTAACACAGTGGAAATAGCATATCATGAAGATTAATCAAAATTAATTAAAAATTAGAAGAATACCTAAAACGTTTTTCGAATTTCAACAATAATCTCTCCCGAGATCAATCCAAAATAGCTTCCCTAAAAGAAAAAGTCTCTAATTGAAATCCACTCATCACCAAAGAGAAGCAATACTGAGAGATATGTTCTCAAATTTCTACTTCTATTCTATTCTTCATATTATCTTCACAATATTTTTTGTATCTTCATAAGGCTACATATGAACTCTATATATAGGATTAGACTAGTCTTAGATTTTAATTTTAAACAATTCATAATTCTTCAAAACTCTATCCATAACAATTAAAGATAGAATAGATTTGTTCAAAAACATTATCTATAACAATTAAGGATAGAAATAAAATTGTGTTGTATGTATACATCTTCTAATAACAATAGTGAGACCAATTGGGTTCCATATCGAGAACCAATTATTAATTAAATTAATAATTTTAATTTAACAATCAAATCCATATCCGACCAACTGTTCATAAAAGCTCTTTCATAATATGAGATTAATTATTAATAAATAATATCTTACCTTCAGTCTCCTCCAGTATCATTTATTTTAGACATCTCTTTTAAGTAGGACAACTCACTTATTTGCTCATGTCTGAATTGTAATTCCCATGAACATAAATAAAAATTATTTTAAAACATCAAAATATTTTATTTTTATAAGAAATTATATTTTTAAAAAAATATTTTCAAAACCACATGCCGGCAGGAATTTAATAACTTCATGGGAATGTATAATAAATTAACTCATCATAATGAGCATACTTGATCCTATCTAGATTTCCATCATTTTTCTAAATGAAATTTAGCAACCCAACGTTTCAGGTTGTGTAGCGCTTGCTAAATA